AGGACTGTAGATCACTTGAAGCATCTATAAGCAGGAACTAATTTGTATTGGTAGTATTCTATCGTTGCTAATTGCATTACTTGGCTGGAGAAATGCAGGCAGAATTGACATTTCAGCCTTAGGGACACAGGGTAGCCCTTCTGACCACAATTCAGCTGGCATCCAGAAATACAATATCTGTGATGCACTGTTTTCTAATCTCTACACTTGTTGCTAGCAGTGCCACTGTGTCGCCTTGTAGTTTATATGTCAGTAAACATTCTTGAATGTGCAGCCTTTGTAAACTTCCTCCTCGGTTGTTGTTTCAAACAGAATGGCCAGTGGTTCCTCTCTTCTTTTTTAAAGAGTATATTATTGTTATGTGGTGGCGATTTTTAATGTGGAAGTCTCCCTTCAGTTCAAAACATATGGGACACCCAGCCTAGTAACTTAACCTTTTAAACTGTGGATAAAACACTCTCATGGAGAAAGCACTTTTATCCAAATAGTGCTGTTTTCTCATGAGCTGCCAAAAGAGAGATCCCTATCTTATGCAAGCCTCAGGGTATAAATATATTCATTGAACCTGGCATCCATTTTCCTTATTGCCTAGAGAAAGAAAAGGAACAGTATACACATGAGAGGGAGGATAGAAGGGAGAGGGAGGAACCTCCTTTCTTTTTAGTTTGTACTGGAATCTAACAAAAAGGATTGGACCCTATTTTGAACAGGAGGTTGCTTTTCAAAGGAGTAGCTCTGCCATTTAGGAAACAAAAGAGTCAATCATACAACAAAGGATAGAAATGATCAAATGGTTAGCCAGAGGCTGAAATAAATGCACTGGAAAGAGTGACAGATTGTATATTTGCAGGAAATCTGATCTGGAAATTAGTCCAAGGTTTTTTACATTGTTTTTTTCCTCCCTGTCTCAACTGATGTGACTTCTTTTTTAAAAAAAGAAGTGAAGGAGATAAATCTCTGATCTCTCAATTCCAGATGTACAAAATGTAACTACTTAGTGGAAATGAGAAATAAATGTTCAGTTGTGGTACAGGAGAAGTTTCAGTTTCTTTGTAGTTTTTTCTTCTTCTTAAAATGCCTCTTTATATTCATTGGGATCTACAGGTCACCATCAGAAAAGGGTAGTATCTTTATTAGTGTCTTACAGTCATACTGGTGGTTTTCACATTACATACCTTTATAACACTCCATCAAATTTTCTTTTAAAAAAGGAATAAAATTGGAGACACCAAATAAAATGTCTCCCCAAGCCTTAGTCAACCAGGAAGGCCAACTCCAATTGGAAAAACCTGAGTGTCTCAATACAAAGAAGTGAATGTTTCCTTATTTAGTGACCTCACAACTGTTTTTAATTTAACCTTGCTGTAGGTACATGCCACTCTGGATTAATGCAATTCACTTTTCTTTATAGAGGCCACATTCCTTCACTTCAAAATTTGTAATCTTTAACTATTTCAGGACGGCAGCATTTTGTAGCATTTTGCAGCATCTATACTTTTTATTCTCATTGATTTTAATAACAAGGCAAGAGAAGTAGAGTTTGGCTCTCTTTACACAATGCATCTTGGTGAATGAGCCAGTCACGCCAAAGGAATATTTTTTCCAGTTATTTAAAATGTAGGGTTTTTTTTAGAGCAAACCTTGTATAGGATTTAATTCCAAACGAGTTGGCATACAACTCAAATGAAAGCAATGTTTTTCCATGAG